TCTCAGGCCCTGGGAATCAATACTGTATTTTGTAAAATTATACAAGACAATGAAACAGTGTCTTCAGCTGAATGTTGCAATGCCAGCTCACTTTTAATTTTCCAAGGATACAAACTCAATGGGTCCAATCTGCATTCAATTACTCAACTCATTCTGTTTTGGAGTGGGTGGTTGTTGTTGTTGCATGAAAACAATAGCAAAGAACAGTTGCAAGTACTTTTCCAGAACAAGAAAATTGCTTTCTTGTTTTGTTTCTCTTTTTTATTTTAAGTCAAAAGGGTTGAAATCCACAATTTATATTCTAGCCCGCTCAAAACCAAAAACTGTCTTAGTGTTGTGCTCAAAAACCTAATATGCTGTGCTAAAACTGTCTAAAATAATTATACTGGAGTTCTAATGAAGGGAATACACATTTTCCACAGCACTGCACTGTTCCTCATGAGCTGGCATGTGGCTGGGACCACCACAGGGTCCCAGAGACACTCTCAACCAAAGTGCCTGAAAGTGTTGCACCAAACCAAGAAAGCATATTTATTCTTCCAGAATGGTGTGCAAACGGCAGAATAGAAACATTTACACAGGACACACCTTTGCCTCACTCCTTTTATCTATGCTCCTCATTCACCACCGCACGAGCCCTGGCAAGACCGCAGGAGAGGAGGGCAAGTCACCACTGGCAGAGGACACAGCCAGCTGTGCCAGCACAGGGTGAAGCAAGGTGGGCAGCAGGCTGTGGCACAGCAGGCTGTGCCTTCTGGCAGCACCATCGCCAGCAGAGCCTGGTGATTCCTTCTGGAGAAGCCAGGAAGGAGTAGAGCTCTGCTGTAGCAGAGCTCTGAGCTGTGTCAGATGTTCTTGGCTTTCCTGGCATCTGCTGCTGAGCAGCCACAAGGGAATCAGCCATGACAGGCAGAGGTTCCCTGGCGTCCCTTACAGAATTAAATCACTGTGGTAACATGGCTGTTCTAAGTCAAAGCCAAGGAACTAAGACAGAATAGAGCCATCGAGAAGAAGGATGTTTCTGAAGTTTGAGAGGTAAGTGCAGATTGTAGAGATAAGTTGGACCAATTTCCTCCTACTTCAGCGCAACACTGTAATTCAGCTTCTAATTCATAATCAGACTGGTTCAGTTTGACTGATTTCAACATTATCTGAAAACCAGTGCTCCTTTGCACAAATTAATAGCACTGGACAGTTAACAGATTACATCTAGGCTGCTACTTCCCACCTGGAAACAGAAGGAAGGAAACTAAATTCTGTGTGAAAATGGTAGTGGCACTTTCTATTCACTTTAAGATAACGAAGAACAGTGAGAACAGTGCCCTTTAAGCTTTCTGTCACTGTTCAGCATTCATTTCAGTGAGCTGGCTCCGTTCCTAAACCTCTCTGCTTCTCTCGGGTGGGTAGATAAATCACACTGGATGGAGCAGAGCAGGCAGCAGTGCTGAACTCTGGAAGGATTGTTTAGTACCAGCTGGGGAATTGGCTGCTTTGCAGTAACCCTATAACAGAGAAAGCTAGTCTTCAGGGACACTGATGAATGTGGTGGAGTCATCCCAGAATATTTTTAGATAAATGTTTCAAAAACAATGAATAAAATTGCATGAAACCAGACCAGACACATTTATTTTGCCACTAAAAGTGCAGGGAAATGAAGGTACAGTGGTACCAACCCACAGCAGCACTTCTACAAAGTGCTCTCAAAAATAAAACACATGTATTCATTTTGCCCATGCCCAGTGTCGTAGCCAAATGACAGAGACACAAAGATATTCCATTAAGTTCACAAAGATGTTCCCTTTTGGCTGGCAAGCACTATAATACCTCAAAGTTGTGCTGAAATCACGGTTTTGAGTCCTCCCCAGACCCATGCACACAGAACTGCACTTAATGCTGCTTGTGTCTCAGATGAGGAAGCTTGTACAGATCCCTAGGATACCTTCCACAGATCCAGAAGCCCTCCTAGATTTTATGAAGAGCTGCTGGATTCCACCAGTAATCACTCCTCTCATGTCATGAGGTGTCAGGACAGTGGCAATGTGAAAAAACACAGAGACATCAAATTTGCTGCCACATCAAACCAATCATTTGCCAAATCCACTGTTCTGCCATTAGAAAGTGAAGCAGTAAGTGTTTTGCAGAAACAAGTAATTACAAAGGTAATGGCATTACCTTTGACTTAAGTCATGTCTTGGTGGTGTAGCTGCACAATGTTAGTGATTCCTCCTGAGAGCAAAATGTAGGGAGAGAAGCTACAACTTAATTGACAGTGAATGCACACAGCGCTCCCTCCCACAATACAGAGTTGTGTGGTGTGTGGAGCTTTTTGGAGGGTTTTTTTAAAGACTACAAATCTTCACCGTCTAGATAAAAATGGATGCATTTGCTCCTTGCACTGAAATCCCTGGGACATTTGATTGGATCAAATATCTCTTCCCAGGCTGTGGACAGGCTGAGTGAGAGGCAGCACCCATTTGGGTATCGGATGACAGATGAGGATACTCACAATCTGAGTGGACTAACCAGCAGGGAACTGCAATACAGAGTTTAGGGAGAATCTGAGCTCACTTTCTGTCTAATTTATAAGCTTATTATTGATGACCATTGTCAAAATTTGGTCTGCAGAGTCAGCTACAAACTGAAGCAAAGTGTGAAAATACTGTGCGAAGAAATGATCCCTCAAGGAAAAGGTGGGAATGAGAAATAAAGTGAAGCTACTTCTATGAAGACATTGGATGAGCACCTGTCAGGACAGACAAACCTCTGGCATATGCCCTCATTGAAGATTAACTTGATAATAAGTAACTGGACACTAAATAATTGAAATAATTGAATTCTGTATTACTAATACAATAGAACAATACAACTAATTAAAAAATTGATTAAACAATGCATTAATAAATACTGTATTAAAAATGGAAATAAAAATGTTTTGCCAGGGAAGTTTGATCTGTTGTCTCCCTGAGGTTGTATCTAGAGATCACTGGTGCTAAGCATGGTGCCAAGAGCCCTCTGCTGACCCTGACCATGTCTTCTCTGTGTGGAGCAATGTGTTCAGTGCAATAGTACAGCACAGCCCAAGAAGCAGAGTTTAGCAGTTAAACCAGCCCTGGATCCATTCACCCAGGGTGACGACCATCCTTGTGGACCCAGGTTAGCATTCCTGCACAGTTTGCATGGGATGGGTTAGCTCACAGAATCCAGCTCCACACAGCACTGAGCTGAAGGTCTCTTCAGCACTCAACCACCTTACCTGACATTCATTACAGCCTTTAATTCTTTGTGTTTAACATAGGCTATAGAAATGACCAAACAAACAAACAAACAAACAAAACCAAAAAACCCCCCAAACCCACCACTCTTCAAGAAATCACAGAACTGCTGATGGAAAAGGGCTTTAAGATCGTGAAGTCTCACCATTAACCCAGCACTGCCAAGTCAAGATTCCAAGCCACCTTTTCATAAAGAATAGTAATTAAGAAAAGCTTCTTGGGTTACTAAAAAGCAAAGAAAATGCTGATCCAGTGCAGCAAAACTTGAAAGGTTAGCATCAAACTCTAGCAGAGAAAGGATTTAAAGAGAAGATCCAAATAAAGAGCAAGACTCATTACCTAACATTGTATCAGTATCAAGGGACAAACCTCCCACTAACATCATTGTTCTGGAATCAAGGCAGGGCTGTGAACCTCCATCTACCTTTACAAAAAGCACTTGTGAAAGCTACATCCCTGTACACTGGCACTATGTTGATGGGGAGCTCCATAATGTAGGTGTTTGGTGGGTTTTTTTTGTTTTGTTTTGTTTTGTTTTTTTTTTTTTTCCCAAATAATCTATCATTGCAGTACGAAGTAAAATGAAAGCTTTGACATACAACAACATCCAATACACAAAATAACTCTGTTACTGCAGATATTTTTTATAAACTCATTATATAATCCACTTCAAAACACCTGGTTGTTTTCAGAAAGCGCAGAAAGTGTCCTGTACCAAAATCTATAGCCTCTTCTGCAGATCTCTTTCACACTTCTTACCACATTCAAGACAGGAATATGATTTGATACACTCAAATTACTGCAGAACAAAACTTAAAACAGACTATGGTGAAGCACTCACTATTTAAAAATAAATATGTAATGTATAGCTTTAATCAACTTTTGAAAGGAATGAAAAGTAAAATTAATATAAGAAATAAATACTAACAGGGAAGAAATAAAGATAAAGAAATGAAACAAAGGCCATAAACACAATTTAACAGGAATTTATCAATGCAATTATAAATTCAGCAAAGCTGTGGCTGTTGGTGAAATATGCAACTTTCTGTGTGGAAAACTGGAAAATGGAAAAGGGCTGAAGTTTTGCTAACCAGTGACTATAAATTGCAATAAATTGTTTGTCATTGTATGTACTTAGCTAAATGAATATTTTAATCTGCATAGAACAGCTACATTGCAGTTTACTGGCTGAATAGTGAATAAAATCAGGTAAAAAAGAAGTTTAGTGACTGTTGGAAATAAAGAAACTATAAACAAAAAGAAAACAGCATTCATATTTTTCTTTGTATTTAGTATCCTTCTCCTTATCTAAGCATTTTATGGCCATTCAACAGTTCTTTTAATATAGCAGGAAATAATCCTGGATATACTGCACATCTGACCTGGATTTTACTTCAGCTTTATCCTGTTTTCTTATTTCCAGTAATATATAACCTTTGCATTAGAGCCTCTCTGGAGCTCAGAAAATTTACAACTAATCAGCGAAGTAAGCAAGCTACTGTAATAGGCTTAACAAACTCTAACCCTCAGTCTTGCGTTGTGATTGCCTCAGAATAATTACTTCTGGAGACAACTGATGAAGATCATATTAGCCTGAGGCAAAACAGAGATCCTGCTAAGTGAATCAATTACAGCCAAACAGAGAGGCGAGGGGACAAAGATATCACAGGACTATTGTTATTATTTATGAAGTGGTCATGGGGATTTCAGATAATTCCTCATACTCACAATCACTGTCGGAGTTGAAGCCAGCACACAGTACAGCACAAGTGGTGAAATGAAGCTCTCTTCCTCTGTCCCAGGGTATGGTTTCATCAAATTGCCATCCTGACAGAAGAAACCTTGGATATGCACCTGAAAAGTGTCAGTGTACTCGAAGTAGTAGGCGAGCAGAACAGTCCCAGCCATGATGACGAGCTGAAAATAAAGCATAGTCACAGAGAGGCATTAGTTGCTTTTTGAAAAGATGCAGCTGTGCCTGAGAGCTACTCCAGTCCTGTGGACCATCCTCCCTTCACCGTCACTCTGACAACCCCTGCCATCATGGTGTGTGAGCGAGTGTGTGTGTGTGTTCCTGTGCCTCTGCTGTGCAATATCTGTTACATAAACCTTTTGGCAAAGGACGCCAATGAACGTCTCAGCGGAGAGCGGGTCCGCGCTGCGGCGCGCAGGGGGACGGAGCTCTGACAGCCCCGCGGTATCAAAGGGCATGAGAGCGTCAGCGCAGCACGATCGATGGCAGCGTGGCAGGAGACAGCAGCAGCGACAGCTAAAACCGTGCTCAGTGGCAGGGAGTGGGAAAGGACTGTTTCAAAGCCTAGAGGAAGCTAAAGCCAAAACACTTCCCCGCTGCAGCTGCAAGCCCGTGCTGGAGAACGTGCATGTTGTGCTAATTCAGATGAGCCCACTGTGTCCCAGATGAAGATGCATCCAGAGGAAGACTTCTCTGCTGCTACTCACCCATCCCTGGAGCTGCTTCTTTATGAGTAAAGCTTTAAAAGCCTACTCAGAAATCTCCAAGCAACCTATGGGGACTTCAGGGCACTGCCTAATTTACCCATTCCACCACAGCCAATTTGGAAAAAAAGGCTTGAGTCTGAAGCTGCATTTATATCACAGATATTAAATGCAAGGAGCCTTTCTGGTCTTTCTTTTCATACTTTATGGCTCCTAAATTTGTTGGTTGGAAGCTTAGCAATTCACATTTTTTGTATATATCTACAGTATCAGCTTCCCACACTGCTTCAGGAACATGTCACCACAACCTCACCAAAGATGTCCCAAACCGAACCTCATGAAAATATGCAGATTTACTAATTCTTGTTTTCCCTCCACCACACAGCAAAGAAAATCTCACATCACAGTCCTCACCCAAGACAAAAATAGTAATATCAATTTATAAGGTTTTTTTTTTAGGGTTATAAAACTAAAAGAGGGTCAATTTGGATTAGGCATAAGGATGATGTATTTTAAAATGAAGGCAGTAAAAAAATGGTCTGGAGAGGTAATGAATACCCCATCTCTGGAAGTGTTCAAGGTCAGGTTGAAATGGACTTTGAGCAACCTGGTCTAGTGGAAGGTGTTCCTGCTCATTGCACAGCGGGTGGACTAGCTGTGTTGTAAAAGTTTCTTCCAACTTAAATCCTATGCTTCTAAATTGTGACTACAGGATCTGATTCAAAATCCTCTTTATGGAGACTAGTGCGACTATTACAGAAGTTGTCAGTATGCAACTATTTTTTGTCATTATAACTTATCTTGCCACACCATAGAAAAAAGTTAAATAACCAAGTCTTGGTTTTAGTATTTTGCCATCAAAACTATATTGCTGCAAGATTATTTTAGGACCTCTGAAAATTTAATTTTGGCAATTCCATCTCAAAGATACACTTGAAGCTATTCATGCACTCCTCTGGCACATCCCTGCACACATAGCCAGCTATTAAAGCTATTGTATAGTTGAGTAGGAGTTGGACTAAAATTAGAACAAAATAATGAAATCAGATTAGTTATTGATGAAAGTAGAAGACCAAAAGAACCCCTAAGCGGTTGAGGTGGGGAGGGACCTTTGAGGGTCAGTTGGTCCACGCTCCTCTGCTCAAGCAGGGATACCTTGAGTTGTTTGCCCAGGACCATGTCCAGATGGTTTCTGAACATCTCCAAGGACGGAGTCTTCACAACCTCTCTGCGTGACTTGTAAGACAGAAGAATGTCACAGTGAAGCCATAGTTGTGGCATTCCGTCCCCCATTTTTTACCTTTAAAATTAACCATCTCATTTTGTAGATTACTGTTTTCAAGACCACCTGCCCATCCAGAATAAATTTTCTTTTTAACAAACATAAAGAAAGATGCTTCTATCTGTGTATTCCCAAGAGATCTTTACAGCAACCTTGATGAGTACAAACACAGTCAGACAGCTAAGGACACAGGAATTAATTTACATCTGAATTTAACTACTTGAGCAGCTATAGATTTTCTGATCAACCTGGGCAATTCAGCTTTGTTAATTACCACGGAGAAAGGCAATGACACTATCACTACTCTACCTGACATGCCCAGATAAACACATCGGAGATTACAGAGTGCTTGGATATAGAAGTCTTTAAATTCACTTCCAGCACCTCATACGACCTGGGCTGTCAAAAGTAATTTGACCCATTCTTCCTATCCCAAACACACTCCCAGAAATATTTCAGGTTGCAAACCCCAGCTGGCAAACATAGGTAAATGATAAATAATAAATGATACAACAGACAGCTGTTTTTTCTCCTCTTACTGGAAAACAGAGAAAGCAGGTTACTGAACTTTTAACCTTCTCTGGGTGTCATATAGAAGAGAATGCTTTTAAAAAATTAAGGTTCTTTGATACAGGAGAAAAATGTCACTTATCCCAAATGCAGTCTCTCGACAGCAGTTCCACGATTAACCTTGACTTTTCCATTGTCTAATGCTGACTCAGTGCTGCACAAAAACCCCTCTTGCATATAAAATACAGCTCTTGACTGACTGACTCAACATTGATATTGACCTAGAATATCACAATCACAGGATCACAGAATGATTTGGGTGGGAAGAGACCTTAAAGCTCAACACATTTCAACCTGCCTGCCATGGGCAAGGACACCTTCCAGCCTGGTCTCGAGACACCTCAATAATGAACCCAATTGTGTTCACACTCCCTGTGTTTCTGTGTTTTGTTCTTCTAAGAAAGAAAAAAAAACCCCATCTAATATGTGAATTTGAAATTTGAATTGTGGACACATTGTATCCTGTAGGTGACATCCACCATCCCAGTGAAACAACAACAGCAGGCAGTGGAAATTTGACCTCAAGTTAAACAGACCTACTATACTGCAAGGGATGACATGAGATACAGAAAGCACAGTCAGCCACTACCAAAAAGGAGCTAAATTTTTGCTGCTCGTACAGTCAGTGAAGACCTGACCACTTCTTTGCAGCAACTTCCTGTGCCTCCTCTTGAGTATTCACTTCTTCAAGCAGCTTCTTAGCAAAACACAACCAGAAACTTATTTTTGTTCTCCCTTCCCTTTTTCCTTTCCACATGGTAACTAATTGATTTGTGTTTAACATGAGTGATGTGATAAGTGCAAGAAGGGGTCAAAGTGGCCAGAAGCAGCAATGACAGAGACAGGAGGGCTCTCTGCAAGGCAGTAAACTTTCCCTGGATGCCGGGATAAAGAACAGCTGCGGTGCTGCCTTGTAGACCTCCTGGATTATGAGCACTCCAGGGAACAAATCAGCGGGCCTGAATCTTGTAGCCTTTTCTCACTTTTCTCCCCCTTTTCAGGTTTACAAACATTGAAGGAAGCAGAGAAGAAGAACAGGCTGAATTAAACTAAATATACAAAACATCCCATTACATAATTCATAAAACACAATGCAGTTTAACATTTCGCGGACTTTATTTATTAATCCTTATTACCTCATTTCCTTGAGTTTACTTGGGGAAAAATTAAAAATGCCCAATAACTTCAGAAAGGCAGCCAATGAATAGAAGACTGCCTTTCTGAAGGCTGCTAATAAATCTAAGGTGCTTAATGGCCTCCATTAGCACAGTGTTTAACCACATCATAATCCTTAATATTTATCATCACTGCTCCATTGTAGGGTAAGAAAATGCTCTTATCATCATTTTACAGAGAGGGGACAAAAGCTGAGGAGATAAAATGACTGCCCTCAGGTCACAACAGAGCCTGTGGCAGAGACAAGATTTATCTTTCTTCTGGACCAAATTTTTTTGGATTAGTCAATAATCTGCACATGAAAGGGCTCAATGATACATATGCTTAGGCTCCAGTTTTGTAGAAGCTCATTCATGATAGTGTTAAGAAAAATTGTGTGTCTCACTCAGTCCCATTTAAAAATTCCTGCTGAATTTAAATCAATCTTGACTAGCTGGACTTAAGCAACTGGGGTGTGTTTTTTCCCTCAGTCATTTAAATTGATTAATTATGTAGCACGTAACATCCATCCCTTGACATACAATTAAATTCTGCCCTGCTCTAACAGTCCACACTGGTGCTGCCCTTACAGACCTTCTTGTCACTGCACACCCTTACTCCACTTTAACCTGTGGGCATTCTCTGCATTCAAAAAATAATTTTATTCAATGTTTAAGAAATAAGAAACAAGTCTTGCAATCCTCTTTGGGTAATGGGTAATTTTTTTGTGTAGATTTAATCAGGTATTGATGAAAGATTGTGTCCCAAGTATAAAGAAAGAGGATTTTTGCAGTAAGCAGTACCATTAGTTACACTAACCCTAGGGTACTCGTGTACATTCAGAAACCCTCCTCTTCACCGTAATAGAGTCTCTGACAGCAAAACTCAGAGAGCGCTAACATCCAAATAAAATTATTGCACTTCCAGGTAGTGGGACTGAAGTCCCACACAATATGCACTCTCATAATTCATTGCAAAGCACTTACCCATATTCTCCACAATTGGAAGATTTTTTTAAAAAATACTGTAACTCACAGAAAAGAGGCCCCTGTTCTGCAAGTAAGTAAGCAAGAGGGCAACTCCACTTGGGAAAGGTGTATAAAACTGTAAAAATAGAGATCAGTATTAGAAGAGGGAAGACACTGTGGAAAACAGAATTTTTTTATCAGCCTAGAATGAAGACTCCCCAGAACTCTTAACAGAGGAGCAAGAAACTTACTTACTTTTGCTGGAAAAATTTCTGGTGTACCCTTTAGCCATAAAACTTGTCTGCCCTGTAAGACAGGCACATAACCACTGCAAAAATCTCCTTTTGCTGTATTTTGTCACTTATATAAGTGATATTACAAGTTCATATGAGTAAACTTGAAACCTCTCTAGTATTCTGCTATTTATACATAGATAGGTAAGTTCTTCCAGCTTATTGACATTCCCACAAACTACTCATAATATA